CTTTCCATGCCATCTCTGTTCTCTAACCTCCTCCCGTATTCTTGATTCTCGATGTCTTTTGAGAAGATTCTTTACCTTTTTCCCAGGTATCACCTCTCCCTCGTCTGTGACACAGACTATTATTATTATTATCATCATTATTATTATTACTATCACTTATTACTATCATTATTATCATCACTATTATTACTATCATTATTATCACACTAGAGCCAAAAGAAGCTAAGAAAACTACTAAAATATTCCAAGAGATAAATAGTAACATGCGACCCTGTCTGTCTCGCAGAACATGTTAACCTTTATTAAATGAGACGTAGTCTTCGTAATAATAATAATAATAACAATGAGCTTTATTTGACCAGGGAACACCATTCAGCAGTCTATTCTCCCAGGTGTCTCTGAAAATGGCGTCTTCAAACAATAACAGCTGGACTCTTATATATGATTAATCTTATATATACCGAAACGTCACTCCTTGCGAATAAACAAATGGAGTTGCGTGACTACCCGCCGGAATTTTGCTAATTAGTTTCCTTAAACACAATTAAGTCGTACGGGAATTTTCTCCCGAACACTGTCGTTGCGAGAATTTTGTTGTTAGGCAAGTAATTCTGCTCTAGTGACAAGACGCAAAAACATCCTTTTAAAAATTATCTTTTTCAAGGCAGGGTTCAGTACCAGATTGAAAATATGTATTTTTATTTCTTTTCTTTTAGAGGGATTAACAGGCTACAATGGAACCAGTGGTAAACCAGCTAAGACTGAAATTCCTGAGGATCATTTGCAGCCACGAGCATTACGTACCCTCAATCTGGCATTCCGTAGTCCTCTTTTCCCCACCCCTCCCTCGTCACCTACTGCTTCTGTCTCGTCAATCGACTCGGCCATGTCTACCTACACTATAGTTATCGGTAACAGTACGGCGAAACTTTCAACAGCTTTCAGACAGCAGCACTTTCTGGCTGGTTTGGTGCTCTCTGAGCTGGCTCTGGCTTTGGAAGGCGGGCAAGATTTTTAGTAACTGACAAACATATGGTTAGATGTTGATTAAGGCATTTTTCGATGGAGTGAAGCAAAAACAAACCCAAAGACCTCGCAATAGCCGACTAGAGCATAAGGAAATCTCCAAGATACGACAATCTAGGCCAGATCACACAGGGTTAGTGTAGAATCTGATTTCAGATCTGAAGGCTGTAATAGAAAATTCAGTATCAGACTTGGTTTAATGCTACTCTTGTTTAAAGATTTAATAAATATAACCGGGGAAATTACAATTCATTCAGCCAACATTTCGACACTCCTGTCTGGTGCCTTCATCAGGGTTGATCTGATTGTCGCCACATGAGGCCCTTTTATTGGCTTTGAAGGACCTCTTTTTGCAGCGATCAGATCATCCTGAAGAAGGCACCAGTGAATAATATATATATATATATATATATATATATATCTTATTAACCAAGCGCGAGGGCCGTACTGGGAGAATATCGGCCCGAGGTCTTGACAGTACGGACCGAGCGCAGCGAGGTCCGTACAAAAAAGACCGAGGGCCGATATTCTTCGATTACGGTCCCGAGCAAGCTTGGTTAATTAGAGATGTATTAAACGACTGAAGTTCAAAGGGACACAAGTGGGGTATCATTCGGACCATTCGGGGCAGTGCCCGGTCCGATACTGAGAGAATATTGACCGGCAATAGAGCATTTTGATTGGTTGATTTTAGTTTCTGGCCCTCTGACTGCCCGAGTCGCGTAATAAGATAATGTATATGTTGCTGTTCAATTTTATCCTTTGTCAAATTTTATTTTCCTTTGTTTCAAACTCATTATCATACATTAACATGACGGAGAACAAAGGAAAATTAAATTTGGACCAAGAATAAAATTGAACTACAACATATACATTGCAGTAACTTATCTGTAATGGTAAGATTATGCATTGAATATTACAGCGTGATAAACTTTAATGGCGTGTATTAAGATTTAACATTAAACATTAACAGCCAATGGTTGACTCCAACAGCATACGAACTTTCAGTTTCTCATTTAATTTCAGGGACATGACCCTGACATGCCAAGCCAGAGACACCACACGTGACCTGATAGCCTGCCATGACTCAGACACCCGCTATGATAACGTGTCCTGTCGCTCAGCCGTGGCAGCTCTTTACTTTTCCCATCACCGGGTTGGTGGTAGGAGCCCTGCACCAGCTCCATAGATATGGTACCGAGGATAGCTTCAGCTTTACCCCTGATGTTGCCATGGCGATAGCCACGTCCAGTATATCAACCTTAATGGGCTCCGATGAAAGCAGGGGTGAATTTGCGTCACCGGTTGTCAGCAAGTTTCTCGAAAACTTTCCATTCTTTGTCTTAAAAGACTTCCGCAACTAATTACTACGACTCTCAGTAATTTTGACGTTAAAATCGTGTTGTTGTCACGGGCAGCTGGCTCTGTTTCTAATGGCAACGTGTCGTTCGCCTTCGTTTAACGGGCTTTCACGTTTAACGGTTGATGATACATGTTTCTTGAGATTCAGTTGCTATGGGCTACGAGGAAGGTTGTCCATGACAGCACCGTTGTTTTACGTCAAAACACCGTCACCAAACATTTTCCGCGCGTCACTTAACTGATTGTTGTAGTATGTTGTAGTTCAATTTTATACTTGGTTCCAATTTTATTTTCCTTTGTTCTCGGTCATGTAAATGTATGATAATGAGTTTGAAACAAAGGAAAATAAAATTTGAGGTTCCAGACTTGGGCTAGCCACTGCCGGTGTTGCGTTCTTGAGAAATACGCATTACTCTCACGGTGCCTTCCCTCAGGAATATGAATGGGCACAAGAGAATTCTTTGGGAAGCCCAGTGGGATACCCTTGCAATGGACTGGCATCCCATTCGGGAAGGGAAGAGGGGAGTGTAGAAATAGTCCTAGTTCCTTCATGCTATGGAAACCAGGATAATCTCTGGCTGGATGAACCGTTTGGCTCAAGTACAGACTTCACCTACCTACTGACCTACCTATCTATCTGTATTCTCCGACAGTTTGTTAGTTCTCATTTACACCTCTGAGTGGAGAAAGGCTCTAGAACATAGGACATTAACTCCGATTAGAGTCAAAGCCAGCCTCAGAGCCCTAGCCATGACATAGGATAATGGATCTTTCATGAGGAAAGGTGTTATTTCGTCTTGCCCCGAGGAAGACAAAGAAAAAAAATCTGAGCTTCTATGAGGAGCGCGGAATCCAAAGGTTTGATTTTTTTTTTCCCTCACGGGTCTCAGAATTATCTCTTTGTTCCACGCTCGTATTAGGACGAAGAACATCTTTCTTCATTTCATTTCGGAGCTCCAAATTCAGGATCTTTGAGGGTTTAAGAGTTAGGTAGCTAAAATCTCATATCGTGGTATCATTTCAGACTAGGCTTGTTGCTGGTTGCTCTCCGGCTGTGCATTACGCAGTTCGAATATGGCGGCAAGGTGCAGAAATCTTCACAGTTTCCAACCACTCCAAGACCGAAGGCGCAGCAGGATGTAAAAGCAAAAATAGAAGAGATGTTGCTTGGAAATAAGGGAGCTGCGAGGGAAATGAGGCAGCGACATAGCAGAGTGATGTTAGGTAACAAAACTAAGTGATATAAACATTTGCCACAAAGGACGATTGGGTTCTATTTACTAAGTGAGCTTCGTGGAACTAGTAAGTAAGGCAGGCGATACGTCGGGCTATATGACAAGCGACTTTTTGCTAGAATCAGCGATGGGAAAAGTAATCTATAAAGAGATGAGAAATTGAATTTTAGATATTTATAGCTCAGTCGACAGAGCACGCGACTGCGAATTACTTAGGCGCACGGTTGACATTCTCGCAAGGCAATCAGATTTCTACTTAATTCTGCGCTCAGGAAAATTGCTTAAAACAAACTGATTAGTTTCTGAACAAACGGCAGTGTTACAGAGGCTAGAAAATGAAGCATTTAAAGCTGGTTCCACACAACAAGCTGAAGTACTTAACTCACACACACACACACGCGCACAAAAAGAAAAGAACACAACTCCGCAAAAAGGTACTCCCGTGAACTTTCATGTAACACGATAGTCTGTCTCAGATAATAACCTGATTCAGATTTTTCGCGTTTCGTGTCCAAACAGAAAAGGGCCAGTCACCAACTCCTGAGTCTCGATTAAGATGCCGAAAGGATCAAACACAGTGGAGACAGGCTACAGAGCAACAAGACAGGTACATACCGAAAACGTTTCAACAAGCCCCGTAGAGGGTATACAGATTCAGGGGGTCCAGCTGGAGGGCCTTTTTAGAGGGCGGGGTGAGGAGTGAGAGGTGTTCACATCTTATTGATAAGAGCAAAATTATTAGCCGATACTTTCTTTAAGTCGTCCAGTTTTACTGAATATTGGGTACCATCTTTGGTTGGGAATCCTACCTAATTATAAAAGGAACTTAGTGAAGGCTATCTAAGATAAATACATCTCGTGCTGAAACGTTATCTTCTGCGAGTGAATAACAGCAGTTACTTTTTTTTTAGGGGGGTGGGGAGATGAGAGTTTATTTAGAGAGGGAGTGCTTTTGAATTAAAACCCTAGACGGAGGCTATTACATTGGAGAGCTTATTAGAGAGTGTGGGATTATAAAAGAGGGAAGTCTCTTGGAGTGGGAGGCTTACAAAACAACAGAGCTTATCAGAGAGAAGGACTCTTTTGAGAGAGTGGTTTAACAGAGAGCGTTTATGGTATTCGTGTTATTCCTTGTAGTTAAATCACTTTTGCCAATTTTATTTGTTGCGTGTTTTCCGTAAAGAGTACGTCCTGAAGTTGAAGTCAATGCTCAAATCGAAGGAGGGCTTGCTGCTGAAGTCAACACCATTGTTCTTGACACGCTTGAGCTCTTGGTACAGGTCAGTGTTTGTGGCAGTTAAGGACATTGTGTCAAGAGAAAATAAGTGGCGGCTCCTTATCCAGGCCTTTGAATATTCCATTCCTTCTAAAGTTATCTATGTTTGGTCTTACCAAAGGAAATCTGTTTCGAGACGTCGGCATGAAGGCTTGAGTGACTTTAATGTATAGTCCTGTATTGGCCACGGGATGTTACTTAAGTGGAAACGTTCTTTTTCAGACGGTGTCTACCTCAGAGTCTCTGCGTGTTGTATTAAGTGGAATCCTACGGGTTTTGCTCCATTCTTTGAACTGTAACCAGAGTGAAAGAGTCCTGCAGAACATATTTGCAACGCAAAGATCAATTGTCTACAAGGTAACGTAAGATGCACGATCCTCGCAGTAGAGAGCGCTATTTATGCAAGAGCGAAAATCAAAATATATGAACTTCATATATCCATCGTAAGGTAACGTAAATACCTCCATGAGACAATGTCTAGAAGCGTAGACATCTGTAACAGTTTATTCGTTGGTTAGATAGCTGATGTCTCTATTGTTCTGTCGAGACATTTGTGTTGCATATAGACTGTTAA